TTTTTTTTTTTTTTTTTTTGTACTGGGGATAGAACTCGGGACTTTGTACTTGCAAGGCAGATGGTGGAACCACTGAGCTAAATCCCCAGCCCTTGTACTCATTCAGGATCCCAGTTCCAGAACAGGTAGCGTGTCTTATCTGACAGAAACCCAGCCTTAGAGCACCCAGATTCTCTCTTACATTTCCACCCATTTCGCAGGAGAAGCTGCTCCTACCTTGGAACTTTGTATTATCACAGGGGCACTGTAAGTTCAGTTCTCAGGGTACCAGAATTGGGGTGAGACGTTCTGTGTCTTCCATGATAAGCATTCCTTTCATGCTATGCAGTCAAAGGGGTATTGGCTAAATGATTCTTTTGGCATATCTTGGATACTGGTAAAGAGATTACTGTCTCTTTCACAAGAAAATTGGATAATGAGGAAAACATTTTGAGCCTCTTCCATTCTGTAGACCAGGTAAGGGAGCTACATAGAGTCCCTCTGATCCCTTTGTGCCTTTCAAAGTGCAGGAGGCAGGTTTTCAAAATGCTTAGATTGGCCTGACACCCCTGCCGACTTACACAGCCCTTTCATCTTAAAGATGTTCCTTGTCGGGAGGTATTTCTTGTGACAAGAAATTTACAAGCTTTAAAACCTCAGGAATACTGGATTCTGTGGCCAAAAAGTGTTAACCATCCTAGATAATTTCAGTCACTTTCGCTGTGCCATTAATTTTATGAGATACCATTCTGAATTGGTCTCTTCAAACTAAACACCACTTTACAACTGTGTTGCCTGGAAGCTCAGCATGGTAGTGGTTAGAGACCTCCAGTGGCCAGCTGTTTCCCCGGTGCCTGCACCCCGGTCTCCTGTTTGTGTGCTGCTTGGCCAGTAACAACCTGTTTGGTCTCTTCAGTGGCCACTGACTTCCTGTCCTCCACTGCTGGCTTAGGTGCTGGCAAGCACCCCGCAGCTCAGACTGGGGCAGCTACAGGCTGGCCAGCAGTGCGGTTTGGCTCTGTCCCTTCAGAGCCTTCCCAAGAAGTATCAGAATAGAGAAGACAGTGTTCTCACTGCTTCACACCCAGTTCCCATCACCGTACCTTTGGGAGCAGTGCTTGGCCATGCCTGAGATTCTCTGGCTGGGGTTTGCCTTTCAGGGGCTGCCAGTCCTTCCACACAGCTCCCGGGAATGATGACCCAGCCCCACCCCTGACCCCAATGTGCGGGTTAGGCACAGCGTGGGCGATGTGGTGCACCTTTGCGCTCTGGTCTCTGGGTGGATGGGTCACCAGCATGGTCCTTAGAGCCACCCTCTCTCCGTCCACCTGTGGGATTTGCCCTGGTTTCTCGCCCATCCCACCCATGGAAACAATGCATTTGTTGCTCTGAGGTCACAGGTGGGTTTCATATCTGTTTGGAAGATCCCATTTTCCCTGTCCCAAACCAAACATGCTTACTGAAATTTACTCAGAAAGCAAAGAGGCTACCATGCCACTCCCTAGCCTGTAGGTCCTATAAAAACATGTGTACTGTTGGCTACTTCTCCACCGGGAATGTTTAACTGAGCCACAGATGAGGAAGAACAAACTCTCACAGCCATGCACTTTGCTAACTCTTGTAAATTCTGGCCCCTCACAGCCTGCCCAAGCCACAGACACTGTCTCCTCCCAAAGGAACCTGTGGCCACCGTGCAGAACTCCTGACGGTGTGGGGACTCACTTGTGGCCCTATGTAGAGCGGACCGTGCAGTGTCACCAGCTGCTCTGCTTGCAGCCGGCTGTGTACCTTAAGCAGGCGAGCATAAGGGTCTAGCAGCTAGGGAGGGGGGATCCTCGTTCCACCGCCCTGTGTGAGCCACTGGGCCCACTGGAGCTGTGGAGGCCTTCCCTCCTGTCACTGGGGTGGTGGACTCCGTCATCTGTGTCCACACCGCACTTCAGCGCAGTTCTTGGTCAGAGGCAGCCCCTGCCCAGAGCAGACCCCATTGTGCCTGCAGATCTGTCGCCATTCTGATTCTGAAGGCCAGCTCAGACCCCTCAGAGGATGGGAGTTCCTCAGGTTCAAGTGTGGCAGCTCTGAGGACAGAGTGAGGCACTGTGAGAGAAGCTCAGGAAGTGGACGTCTGTACTCCTGGCCAGCTCTCCATCAGCCGTGTGACCTTGGGCAAGGTAATCTTAAATTAAATTCTGTGATTTATTCATTCTTGGGAAGATCAGAACATTTCTTAAAGTTGAAATTATTGAGGCGCAGAAACTTCTTTTAACTTTAAAAGTTCAAGAGCAAAAATTCTTGTTTTCTTCCGGCTTCAAACTGTGTAACATCAGCACATCAGGGCTGACTTTCTCATCCTTGTTGGAAAGCGAGTTTGATATTAAGGGTAATTGAATGGTTTTGCAATTGCTTTCCCTCCTAATGGTGTGGTAAGAATATTAAAACCTGCAGAGGTGGAAATTGGAGCTGTGGGGAAATGGATAGAAAGCAGTTTGTTGCCAGCATCCTTTGAACAAATTGTTTTAATAGGAAATAGAGCTGCTGCTTCATAGCTTTCCTCAGCCTTCTCATGCACGAGCTACTCTGGCTCTTAGCACCTAGACAGTGGGCTACTTGTGCTTCTGCTTACCACCCGCTGGTTCCTAGCCTCGAACTCTGCCTTGCAACAGCAAGAGCATTTTCCTCAGTAAAAACCTCAGCCTTTAATTCCATGGAGCTGCTCCTCTGGATTCTGAGCCATCAGGAGGCAGCGGCTGTGGTGCTGTTCAAGGTAGTTGTCTTCACTGCAGGTCTGCAGAGGAGACAGCAGTAGGCATTTACCAGCCTCCAGCCACCGTAACAGGACCGCACTCGGCTCTCACAAGCCTGCGGTCTGCGTGTGAGCACAGTGAGGCCGGGCCGGGAGGTGGAGGTGGCCCACGTGCCGTGCCATGTCAAAGGCAGTCAGGGACTTCCAAGGAAAAGCAGGGTGGAGGCTGCAAGTGCTGGCAGGAAGAGGCAAAGCGCAGGGAAATGAGTTCTGTCTCACTAGTGACTGCATCCCTCAGCCTCCAGCCAAGCGAGCAGAGATTGTAATCAGCTTCCCTGATAGATATCAGCAGCTCAGGAGCCAGCCCTGTCAGGGACGCTGTTGACCTCTGGGTTCTGATTAGAATGGGGAAACAGATCATCTTCATTACAGCCCAGGCACTCATTATCACAGCCAAGGAATGAGGTGGCCTCTGAGAGCTGGGGGAACACAGGCAGGAAACTGGCCAGCTGGTCCCTGAAGGTGAGATTATTCCCTTGTCCTTGGGAGCTGGGGGGCGGGTTGAGGACAGGCACCGACCTGCGTGCGCAGGACGAGCTCCCAGAGTGAAGCCGGGCACAAGTGCCCTTTGTCGGTAGTAGTCTATCAGTTCCTATCTTTGGCTCTTCTCCCTGCCTTCCAATCACCCCCGAAGACGTCTGTGCTATTTTTCTCTTCTGCTTATCATTTCAGACTGTGAATCTGCCAGAGTGATGTTATTTCTGCTCCAGATTTTCCCCTCATACTTCCAGTAAAATTTTACTTGGTTGGCCCTTAAGGTGACATCAGGATGCTTTTATATCCTTCCAAAATAAGCATATTATGCTCTCTCTCCCTCTCATCTCCTTCCACATTCTTTACTCCTTGCTTCTTACTTGGACCTCATGGTGCTTTACAGTTTTCTGAATCGGCCAGGATTCCAGGAGGAGTTTATACACCAACAGCCACCCTATCACTATCCCCAGCCCTTTCCAGCTTGAAGCTCTCTGGCTGTGCTAATGCCCCTGAGATGAGGGCTGACTTGTAGGCCTGAGGCCACCAAGACCATGGGTAGCTGTGTCTGGTTTACACCGTCTTTATCCTGAGAGGTATGATCGGTTCCAGCTTCAGGCAGCAGTGTGTCTCCTCAGCTCAAGCTAGATCGGGTGTGGGCGCATCTGTGACGGTGGCTTGGCCCATTCCTGCCTGGCAGGACTCAGCGGAAGAGGTTCAGCGACTCTGGAAGCCTCCAAAGGCTCTGATGTGCTCCCAAGGACACACGAGGGCCAGCACCAGCCTGACCCCCGCTGACATCTCTGCCCTTGCTGTTCTCCCACTCACCTGAGACCGCAAACGGATTCCAGCTTGTCCTTGGCTACAGAGGCCCAGTAGATCATGTGGAGGAAAGTCAACGCCGGGAGGCAGGCTGGAGTCCTTAAAAGTCTGTGTTGCCACCTGGCTGCTACTTGGTGCTTGGAGGAAGGCTGGGATTTCCCTAGTAGAGATGCCCTTGCATCCCTCTCCCGGGAGAAGATACGGCCTGCTCTCAGGCTTGGGCCTTGGCTTTATGGGTTTCCTCCCTGCATTCTTGCCTCTGCCCTGACCTTGATCAAACAGGGGTGAAAAGTGCGTCAGAGAACTGCCCTCGTGTCTCCACACCTGTCCCATTTTAACGGTAACATTTTGTCTTTATCCACCCTTCTCTCCTCACTCTATTTCTACCACCGTTGAAGCACCAGATGTAACTTTTCAGCAGAGTTGTATGGTTTTAACCAGTCCACTGTAAATATACCAGGAGTACTGAGGGGGGAAGCCAGCTCGCTTTGTGAACTGTATTTTTATGCAACTTTGAGTGGCCTTTCAACCCTGAGATGGACGGTTTTGTTTTACTGATTAGTTATTAAGTATTCTGTGTTTGAAAGTTTGGGGAAAATATTCACATCTATATGATGCCTGTAAACACAACAGTATTTATAAATGAGTAAAACTGTGTTTTAACTTTGTGCAGTGACATCTCTCAAAGTCCCTGTGGGGGCTTCACCAGCAGCCTCCCCGCGCCCTTCTACAGAACCATTGGCCTTCGGTGAGTTGCCATCCCGAGGGCCGGTTGCTGGGAGCACCATGCAATTCCCAAGTGGGTCAGGTCAAGGCAGAGCCTGCAGGGGAACCATTAAGAAATCAGGGTGTCAAGCCACTAAGATCCGGCTGGCTGGCTGGCAGCATGCATAGCGCAGGACTCCAGGGCCTGTCTCCTCGTGCACTAGCAGGCGCGCATGCATGGGGAAGGGAGGTTCTGCGAGGAGGTTCCTCCAGGCTCCAAACGCAGCTAACTTGAGGGTCCCTGGAGGTCAGTGCCAAAGTCCAAATGGAGCCCAGCCAGGGAGTAGCTGCAGGGCCGGCTGGCAGGATTGGGGGTTCAGGCAGCCAAGGTTCAGATCTGGTTTCTCCTTGCAGCGAGCCCTGCTCTGCTTGTGACCGAGCGGAAATCCCTGATCACTGCCTTGGAAGCGGTCAGGGAGGAAAGATTCTTTTCCCTTGCTGTCATCCAGCTGTTTGAGGTCCAAGCAGCACTGGCACACACACATGATGTCATGGTTGAAGAGTTCAGACTGTCCTGGGGCCTGAAGGGAGCTGCTACAGGCTAAGCAGTATGCCTACCACCGGGGCTGCTCAACTGCAAAAGTGCCGTGTCTCCACCGGACATAGGGAGGGGATGGCACACATAGCCTCCCTGCAGCAGAGGAGCCCACAGTCGTAGCCACTAGCCAGGAGCCCCGTGCCCTTCACACACCCAGCCACCCGGGCCACCCTCCCTAGGGACTGAAGCAGCAAGATGGGACACTTGTTCGCTTGCTCAGGTGGGCCTGTCCCCACTGTCCCCCTGCCCCCCCATTCGGGCCTGACAGGCAAGCGCAAGTCTAGCTGCGGTAGTCCTGGAGGACAACTGTCATGGGCGGAAACCAGCAAAATGGGAGGTGGCCTGTCTTCCCAGTGAGGGACAGGCCAGGGTGGGAAGTGGGAAAGGACTACAATCCTTTTCTGGTCTCAGGGCAATGCTGCCTCACACTCTTCCCAAACATTCCCAAAACCTATTCTATCCTTCATCCCTTAGTGCCTGCCATGTGAGTCCAGGACATTTGGAGTTCTTTGCAATGGGACAATCCAAGACTTTTAGGAATTCTCACTTTTCAAACTTCCACACTGTGGCCATTTCCCAAGCCCAGCTCTACTGGAAGTCAAGGTCGTGGGCCACCCCCCCCCCAAGGCTGATCCTCAACACCACGCCTCCCCAGGGCAGTGGCAGGCACTGGCTCGTGGCCTTGTTGTGGGGGGCTGTGTCCTACCACCCAGCAGAGCTCCCATAGCATCTCGTCTTCCTCCCAGAAGGAGAACAGCCCTAGCCTCGGGCATCCCTTCCAACCCCCACCCTCACCATGGCCCAGGAAAATAACGAGAGGAGACACCCCCCACCCCCAGATTTCTTTCAGCTCATTTCTTTAATAAGGAGACGCAGCTCATTACAAAATAACAATTTGACAAGAGATCAGACAAAAACAACAGAGTCCACATAAGGGGGTGGAGAGCACTGCCAAGCAGGGGGAAAGAGGGAGGCCAGGGCTACACCAGTAGCGTCCTCGTGTAGACAGGGAGAGCTGGTGGGGCCACACATTCCCTGGGTGACCCAGATCAGGCTAGGCTAGTCTTTGCCTCTAGCTTTGAAGTTTTCTGGCCCCAAGGTTTTCAGAAAGCAGCCAATCGAGTCCTTGAGTGAGCAGGAATCCGGCAGAGTGGTCAGCTTTCTCTGAGGAGGGACCCCTAAAGCCCCGATACATGCTTGCTAAGGAAGGTGGAGAAACTTCAGCGCCCCACAGTGTCTGTCCCACCACCTAGCCTCAGCTCTTGCCTTGACCCTTTCTGGAAAGGAGAAGGCCCTTCAGTGGGAGCTGATCCCAGCCCACTCTGAAATGTTCCCCTCCCTTTCTCCACTCTGTCCCGACACAAGGGGAAGGTGAAGACCCTCAGACTGTGCGCCCAAGCATGGTGGTTTGTAAATGGTGGAGGCCACCCCACTGCCTCTGGCTTGTCTAATATATCCACCCTGGTTCTTGAGTTCTCTCTGCAGGAGCCTCCAGGGGCCGTGAGGAGCCCGGGCTGCTGGGTAGGGACTGCGGTTCACCATGCTGCTAGAGACCTCAGAGGACCCCAGTGCCCTCTGCCCACTTCTCCAGTGCTTGTCACACCAGGCTGGGGCTGCCCCGGGAGCAGAGGGGAGAGTAAAGCCTGGTGCCCACCTGCCCGCTGACCCTGCTCCTGGTGGAGTGTGGGGGAAGAGCTTAACCCACTGTGTCCTCCAAGGTTTTCCCCATGAGTCCTGCCACTGCTAAGAAAGCAGGGCTGGTTCTGTCAACCCCAGGGGCAAATGGGAGCCTGATCACAGGCTGAGCCACTGACTGCTCCTGAAAACCCTGCTCACCTCTACCGAGCCCCCAAATAACGTGTCCAAAACTGTGGCGCCCCCACCACTCCCTGTCCACACGCAGGGTGGAGATGGAGTTGAATTGTCAGACTTGGGCCAAGAAGCCAGCCAGGGTCATCTCCTGACGCCCCACCAGAAGCCCTGGACACCACCTGTCCTCGTGGCTCCATGCTATGGGAGCAAAAGAGGGTGACACCAGGTGAGTCCTTCAGAGGTGTTCTGCGGGGAGCCAGTCGGAGGGTCGTGGGTGCTCCTGGGAGGAGCCGAGGGCAGTCTCCAGCCAGAGGCCCCCTTATGGCTTTTCAGTTAATTCAGACAGTGGGAAGAAGGGAGCCACACCACACACACAGGACATAGGAACAAAGGGACAGACACCAGGCTAGACACTGCACAGTGTCCCTGCACACACGTGTGACAGATGGCCCTCTGGGAGACACCGTGTCCACCAGCACCTCCCAACAGGACTGGCCTCTGGGCCAGAAACACTCTTCCATCCCCTGATAACCCCCATTGCAGGATTCCCAGTGAGGGGAGGCAGGGGTCAGACGGGGACAAAGACGCCACACAACATAAATTGAAGGAACAGGTTCGAACAGCTCTGTAAAATGGGTTGGGGGCTGGGAAATCCAGGGGACTCCCAGCATTGCCATGCGGCTATTTACAGAAAGTTATAGACATGCGTCTTGATTAAACAAGATTTCTGTTCATATGTTTATAGATAACTTATCTTTATATATAACTAAACACATATGGAAGGGGTCAGATGAGGCCCAAATGGCTTCAGAAGGTTCTTGTCACTTAAAAAATAAAGTATATTCATGTGTCTTCAAGTCACAGTGTCCCCTTCTCAGTATTGCAGTTTGAAAACAGGTTAAGTCAAATCCATAGTGACCAATCTCTGGCCCCCTGACCAAGATGGGGTGGGGAGACGTGGTCAGATTCGGGCTAGGGTTGCCAGACACAATGCAGATGGCCAGTTACATTTCAATCTCAGATAAATGAATCATTTTTTGTACACTAGGTGCCAAATACTGCCTAGGACATACTTACACTTAAGTTATTTATCTGAAATTCAGATTTAACTGAGCATCTCGTATTTTTATTTGCCAGATCTGGCAACTACGTCAGGGCTCTGGACCACCAGGATTCAGGATTTGGGACTCTTTCCCCACCTGCTACCACCTGTGGCTCTGAAAGAGGCCCCAGCCATCCTGAGGTGGGAAGGAGGGAGACAGAACAGAGAAGGGATAGAGCAGAGGATGTGAGGGCATCTCTTGGCTCAGTCTCCGTCTACCTTTGAGAGGGAAGGACACCAGCAGGGACAGGCTCTACAGGTCGGGTAAGACCCAGGACATGGAGGCCTCAAGAATTAGCCTAGAACATTAAAGAAACAAGGTATCTCTCCCTCCCTGACCCAAAAGGGGGTGCTCCCACTGCTGTGGCCCATTTCTTGCATGGGGACAGGTTTACAAAAGAGCCAGTTTTACCTGCAGGAGGCCTGCAGCGACCCTTCTCTCTCACTGAAGGCTTGAACCACCAAAATCATCCGACACTGCTTCTTCAGAGACCCACGCTACATATGGGAAGAGAAAAGACCAGGGTCTGAGTTCGTGGCCTAGTTCTCTGCTGTCCCATCCTCCAGCCAGGAGGCTCAGGAAAGTCGATTCTCATCGTGCCAAATACCTACTCTCTGTCTGGGACTGCCCAGCCTTCCCCAGGCCTAGGCTTCCCTTCCAAAGTCGAAAGCTCTGCCCATAGCCCTGCCAGTTAACATCCTTTCTGGAATGATTATCCAGGGAGAAAACAAAACTTTTAGGCCTCACTCCCAGTTTCTGGGTGGGATTAGGTTTTCATGGTTTCAGCCGCTCTGTAAAAAATTATCGCTCTACTAATACTTTCCCCTCTCTGGAAAAGACAGGGATGAAAACTCACAGCCCCAGAGGCATCCAGACACGCTCTTTTCTACTTAGCGCTGACACCGGAAGGCCCTAACATGGTACAAGTAAACTTGTAAACCCGCACGGCAGTGAGGGTTTGGAATGACACTCTGGTTTGGGTTATGTAAGCCCGCAGCTGTGGTAAACTTATAAACATCACCATGTTCCCCACAGCCTGTGGAACCAGACAGATGCCATCTGCTCAGTATCAACCAGGACTTAGGAAAGGAACTCGGAAAAGGGTAAAATAAGAAAGGTAGAGGTTGACAGGAAGTTTCCATGAATGAGGTTTGTGGAATGTGGGTGAGGGGGGACCCTGAGAGAGCACCAAAATCCCACGGCCCTGGGGATGGGAGGAATCCAGTGACATTCGATGTCCATACTTGGACTGCGGTGTTCTGCTGCCACCCAGATTCTGTTGTCCTGCAACTCCACCATGACCACAACTCTGGTCCCAAGGACCAGAGCTCATATCTGTATCCCAGTCCTGCCTTCCTAGTAAGTATGTATACATGGGGTGTATAAAAGACATGATTTCCCATGTAGCACTAGCAGGAAGGAGAAGGGTCAGTCTTGAGAGGCTAGCCAAGACTTGCTTTCCAGTCTCTTTCTGGTAGAAGTGTTCCCTCACTCCTTACTTCAACAACAAAGCAAAGCAAAATCACTTCCCACCTTACTTCTTTAATAAAATGAAAAGATCTGTGGGACCTCAAAGCCTGATTCTCTCCAACACCATCATTCTATCTCAGGTGCCATCTTTGCTGAGAATATGAGTCTCAGGCTTCTTGGGGAGCTGTGAGTTTTCTGTGGTAAGGAAATGGCAAGGGTCTGAGGGCTTCAGAGACAGAGGTCAAGGGAAGGGAGGCAAAGAGGGTTGGCTTCTGGCCATATGGGGACCTGACTTGCCCAAGCTAAAGGTTTGAAAGGGGACTCAGTGCAAACTTGACTAACATATATATGGCTTTTTAAAAATCAATGCTGGGGATAAGGGGTGAATGGGGGAATGGGGTAACAACACGGGGTAGAAACCCTGGCAGGTTTCCTCCATCACGCATTAAGAATGAATGCCTTTCATCCTGGCGTTCACGGAGAAAGGACTCTAATGAATGGGAGGCTGGGGCCTCCTTGAGCTACTCCAGCTACACATAAGCCCTCTGGTATTGGGGGTAGAGGGTCCACAGAGCCAAGGAATGGGATTTGGGGAATCCCAATGCTCCCACCCCAAAAACTCTCCACCATCTGTCCATCATTCTCCCCTCTTTACCACCCCCTTCTTACCTGGACCTCATGGAAACTAAGGACATTTAAGCCTTCCTCTTAAAGTTCTCTGGCTCTGTACAGATAATATGTCTTCAGATAAGTTGCTCCACTTAAAAGAGAAATTGAAGCAAAAGCAAGAATGGAGAAAAATGCAAATGAATTGCATTGCTTATATTCTGGAAAGGGAGAAAGTGTCTGTTTCCCAATGGATGGGGCAAGATGCAGGAGTTTTAATTTTGGTCTTTCTGGATAAAGGAGCTTCTCTTTCTTCATAGTTTGATATTCATTGTCAGTAAGAGTGAAATCCTGGGACAGACAGTCCCTGTTAGAGTCTAATCTAGTGAATAGTTCATTTCCATGAATGTCCCAGAAACCCCGCTTCTGGAGAAGCCATGACTGACAGGAGGAAGTCTATGATGGCATCAGGGGTTTGGTCTTAGTTGACATATCCAGTACCCGCAATTTGCTGCCTCCCAAAGAGCCATCTACAAGGAATAGTAGGCGCTTCTGACATCTGGCCGCAATTTTGGGCCTTCTCCACCAGCTGATGGATCTCCCACAAACAGTGGACTTTCTTCATTTCAGGGTCCCTGAAGAACTCTTTCTTCCCACACAGCTTTCACTGTCCATGGCTCATCCAAGGATTGAAGACAGACTCCAAGACAGACAGACACACCACACACATGCACACACGTACACACGCACACTGACCCACCAATGATTGGCCACTGTGTTGCCTTCGCTGTCGGGAAACAGGATGTGCTGCCATTTTGTTGGTCCAGGATGTGCAAAAAACAGGAAGTGCTTCAACTTCCTGCCAGCAGAGTGCCTCGCTCAGGGTGAAACAAGTGAAGCACTGAAAGAGGGAACCATGACAGCGCATGCAGCAAGGGCAGTTGCTAGGATGATGAATAGAGCCAGCCTTCTCTCTCACCTCTTGGGGGACTCTCCTCACACAGCCATCAAAGGGAAAGTCGGTCTTTAAAAAGAGAAGAAAGAAAAACAAGTATACAACTACAAAAACAAAACTCTAAGGTCGCACAACTGAGGTATTGATAGCTCTGGATCTTGTCAGTGTCCGTGAAGGGTGCCTGGTCCCGGCTGCTGCCGCCTACTTGTTCTTGCCCAGAAGTGCATCCACCTCCTCTTCAGGCTTGAGCGAGTGCCACTGGGCAATGGGCCTCCGAGGGTTGGCCAGCATGTCGGACCAGTGCCGCAGCTCTGTGCCTGTGGCGTTGCTGCCCACAAAGATCTTTCCAATGGCTTCATTCTTACCCAGCTTGTCATAGTCCAGCACAGTGACCACCACTTGGACTTTCTACAAGGAAAACAGAGGAGGGAGGGAGTGGGAAGGTGAAGATGCAGGATTCCATCACCAAATTTCTCCCCTTCAGCAACCTATACTTCAAATGGTTGGGAAGGAAAGGCTTCCCAGGACCCCCTGCTTCTATCTCTGGCTCCGGCTAAGACTGAATGTATACAGAGGCGGAAGCCACACCTTTCGGAGATGACCTGTTGCTACCAACAGGAATTTGCTGAACATGTGCAACGTTAAGCACTTGCTAGGGGGACAGTGAAAAGATGAATTTTTACCTCATGAGATCAGCAGATACATAATCACAAACTTGCAACACAAAGTGATAAAGGTTATGCCAGAGGGATAAGCTCAAGGTCCTACAGAAATTCAGAGGAGGTGATAGCCCTGCTTGGGTCAGCCAGGGCAGGCTTCACAAAGGAGGTGACATCTGAACAGGACATGAAGGCTGAGGGTTTCTCTCAGAGGAGAAAAGAGGGAAGAAGTTTCCAGGAAAGAAGACGAGCCTGGACAGGGACACAGATTCATGAGGATACATTTGGTGACTGACTGAGAAATGTTGGAAGTGTGGAACCATGGAGCTGTAGAGTGAGAAACAATGAGGCAGGAAGTAAGGTCACCACGGTGATGGTAAGGAATTTGCATCTGATCTTTCAGACAATCAGCTGGAAGACTTTCTAAGAGGAGTGGCGTGGGTAATTTGAAAAGAAAACAGTATCACTGAGGTGGAAGATTCACCAGCCTCAGGGCAGCAGGAAGTCCAGTCACTGTGAGTCCTGGAAGGATGGAGACCGAGGACTTAAACCTAGGCAGTGGGTTTGGGAAGACAGGGCCAGACTGGAGAGGTATTTAGAGGAGAGAATCCAGACCTAGCGGTCATTGGCTTTGTTGAGGGCACAGCCTGTGCCTTTTTCCTCTCAAGCCAGCCAACTCAGACTCATCCTTGAGGACAAAGCTTTCTCTGGGAAGCCATCCCTAAACTGTTACAGTCTCTACCTTATGCTCGGTGAAGGTGTCATCTCACCATGCACGTTGCCTGTCCCCTCTCACTGTGACAACCTTCACAGCCAGGAGCATGTCTTCCACGTACTTGGAGTCCCAGCTCCAGGCAAGGGCCTGGCACTTAAGAAATGCTCAAGAGAGTATGTTGGCTAATGGGAAAAGAAAAGGGGTTGGGGTAAGATGATGCCCAGGTGGGCTACTGGGTAGATGGTAGAGCCATTTGCTCAAAACAGAATTCAGATGAAGCAGGTTTGGCTGTGAAGAGAGATTTAGACACTGGGTTTAGACATGTTGGATTTGAGATGCTTGGGCAGTATACTTGCTCTCTGTCTTAAGTTCTCCATCAGGAAGGCTCCTCCTGGACTCCCATTCCTGCTGAGCTGCCCACTGTTCCCTTGAAGAATTCCATACGTGACATCACAGACACCTCCAACTCCAAGTGCTCCTCTCGCCCTCAGCCCTCCTGGAGGGGAGGAGAAGTGTGCAGATCAGCTCACTACAAAGAAGGAGAGTCCGAGACTCCACAAGGACCAACCACGCCGCAAGGCCCTGGCGGCATCTCACTGCAGTCCCAAGAGGGCCTCTTGTTCTTCCATAAACCCATCATACCCAAAGTGAGAAAAACAGACCTCATTTCTGACATTTGCTGGTTGGAGGGAAAGAAGGGATGAAGAAGAGCAGAGAAGGCTGGAAGGGTCAGCACAGGGAAAGAAAAGGGTGGCGGGGAGGCATAGATGGGAGCAGCGCTAGGGCACAGCAGAGCCAAGAGCAGGGATGGCCATGGCCGGGGAAGGGTGGAGAAGGAGGTGGCTTTTTCTCTCCAGTCACTCCCAACCTTAGGCTGGTGTCACAAACACTCATGTGACGGCCATGTTCCTCGAAGTCCTTAAGGACTGATAGGTAGAAGTTTCTAGAATCAGTTCATGTTCATCTCGTCAGAAAAGGACCCTCCAGAAGATGCCCAGGGAAGGAGGCCCCCACAGCATCATCAGACCCAAGCCTTCCCCAACACGAGAAGCTGTTCTTTCTGTGTCCTGCTGTTTCCTGCCCCTGACCTCCCAGAGCTCATGTGTCCCAACCCCAGCTCCATGCCCAAGACCCAGAGGGCTTGAGCACCTGAATCTGCTCGAAGGGGATCTCGAAGCTGAAGGACTCGTTGAAGTAGGGGTTCAGGGTCTTCTTTTTCACTGTCGTCTTCTTCTTCTTAAGCCTCTTACCATTCTGCATGAGGTGGATTTTCACATAGGGGTCTGTGGAGAGAGTCCCAGCCCAGAGGCTCCTCAGCGCTCATCTCGCTCCCACAGTGACAGACCTATCCCTAGCCTCTGTGGGCCAGAGTGTCTGCCTGCTGAGACCAAGCCCTCAGGAAGCCCAAGCCACCAGACAGGAAGTCCTAATGGCATAAAAGAATCATCTAGTTCCAGGGAGGAAAAATGTTTCACCTCAAGGACAGACGCTGACCGGTTGGTTGTGGTTCCCAGGAGGATGAAGCTGGGACATTTTCAGAGTCTAGGGGAGGCTTGCAAAAGAGTGTGGGGTCTGAATGGTGATACCTGCGCTAAGTGGGGGGCCAGGGGACTGCTAAAGGCTGGGCCTCTGCCACGTCCTCGCCCTGGCCCAGTAGAACCCTCCCTGCAGATAGAAACGGAAGCCAAACAAGGGAAATGACTGCCCAAAGTCGTGCACTGCATCATGACACAGCCAGAGCCCACTCACGGGCCTCAATCGCAGGGAAAGCACTCCGGACGAAGAGGCACAGCCAGCACAGCCCACAGCTTCTCCTGGACAAGTGTCCCTCACTGTGGTGGCAGAGGCACACCTGGGCTGAGCCCTGCCCACTTCCTACAGTTCCTCGTGGGAAGGAAAACCCTAAGGCACTGGCCCATTTGGGTGATAAAGCATCACCACTCCTTTCCTTCACGGGCCACAGGACAAGGCCAGAGGGCACTGGGACAGTAACTCAAATTGGGGCAAGGGCTCCTTGGAGAAAGGGGGAGTGGGAAGCCAGAGCTCCCTGCTCTGAGGTGAGACTTCTGATTCCCAGAGTGGGACCTCAGCGGGGCAGGCAAACTCCAGGGGTTCTGAGCAGTAGCTGGCTCGCGGGTGCCACCCAACGGCAGCTACAAGCACTGCGTTACCTGAAAGGCCACCCACATCCATCTTCTTGAGGTTCTTGGCCTCCAGGATGCAGACAGTGAGCTTCCCAGCCGTGGGCACATAGCGCAGGGAGGTGCAGATGTCACCCAGCTTCTCCGGCTGTCCAGGAAAAAGTGGAACTCGGGTCATCTCAGCCATCCACCACCTCTAGTGTGACTGGTCCTGTCTTGCCAGTGTGGTTTGCGGCCACCCACCCCTTCGGTGCATGATCTGGGGCTGCTTGCTGCAATTCCCAGCCACGACCCAGTGGATATGCTCAGGCCTCTCCCTATCCCAGGCGAGGTGGGCAGGGCACAAACTGGGTGAAGACGAGCATCTATTCCCAAGAGCCCGGGAGACTGAGAATGTCAGAAGCTCCCTGCCCCCGCAGTCTCTCCCGGGCACCATGGTGAGACTGACCACATCACACCTGCTTCCGGGGCGCCACCCTTCCTCCTGGACACAGCATGAGCCCCGAGGCCCAGAAGGATGTCCTGTGCTTCCCTCTTGTCCCTACACCGCTGCCTCGTACCATGCTAGCACCAGGGCCTTGTCCCAGACAAATGACCAATGCTTGGCAGGAAGAGGGGCTGAAGAGAAGCTCTGGGTACACAGCGGGCACTCAGGAATATTTGACAAGCAAATGCACACTGTAGCAGTCGCTAGGACAAGCGCTCAGGCTGAGAATCCTTTCAAACAAATGTGAAGTTCCATGTGGACAAACTGAGGCACAGAGTTGGGAATCACTGGCCCTAGATGACAGCAGAACATTACAGGCAACAATAACGGTTCTTATGTAGCTGGCTGCCTACCAAAGCCAGACTCGTATGTGGACAGTTCATCCTCATCTGTAAAGGGTCTAAAAAGGAAGCCCAGGGACAAAGAGTTTAAGCCACTTGCCCAGGGTCAAGAGCTCAGCAGCATGGAGCTAGGACCCTAACCTGGAAGACCTGACCCTAACGCCCGCCCTCTCCCCAGGCTGTGGAGGGGGGTCCAGGGGTGCACAGTGCCCGGCTCCTCCCGCTGGCTCAGGTCTCGCTCTGCTCTCACCTCCTCCTTCTCCCCGCCTTGCAGGTCTCTCCACTCCTCGATAGGCTGGCCGAGGTCCACAGTGTTCATGGGCACCTTTACCTCCCCGATGATGTCATGTTTAGAGAAGCGGTCAAAGTCATAGATGGCCATCACCAGGGTTTTGCCCCCCAGCTCCTGGTACGGCACCTGTGGGACACAAAGGGATCAGAAGGGGCAGAATGACTCATGCACCTCCAGGGAATCCTGTGCACAAGTCGCTGGCCTGGGCCAGCCCACAGGGCTCCCAAGATCTAGAGAGAAAGAAGACTCAGCAGGGCTTCTGGGGAGCAGAGAGTGGGGGTGGGATGCAAGGGGTCCCCATCCTCCACAGATCAGCGAGGACCTTCCAGGTAGGCTGCGTCCAGCCCAACTGAGTGGTCCCAGACTCCGCCATGACCCAGGCAGGACGATGAAAGATCTGCAGAACTCAAGGATGGGGAGGGAGCTGGAGTCACACTTCCAGCCTCATCACCTTGAAAGTGAAGGTTTCGTTGAAGGCAGGGTTCAGGGTCTTCCGATGGACTTTGGTCTCGTATTTCTTCTTCTTGTCTGGGAGAAGGAAGACTTTGACGTAAGGGTCTGAGGTGCCCCCCATGTCCAGGGCAGGTAATTCCGCAGCCTGCAGGACTCCCACGGTGAGCTGTGGAGAAAAGGGACAGAGGGAGGGGGCTGAGTCTCCGCACTGCTCAACACCAGTGCTGGCCCAAACCTGGCCCCCAACTCCTCCCACAGGTGACAGCTGGAGGCTGGGGTGGGATGACCGGGGCCAGGCTGGCCTCCACCTCCTGCCCCACGAATGTGCAGTGACACTGGGGAGCCTAAAATTGGCTTTGCCCAAGCTTGGTGTGCAGCTTAATCCAGCGTCAACAAGGCGCCTTCCCCAGAGCAGACTGGTGACCACGTCCCGACAGATATGCCCTATGGTTTCCAATCCACGGAAAGCAGCAATATCCACACACGGGTAACTTTTCTACACCTCCCAGGCCCCAGCCCAGCTCCACACACCTGGTTAGCCTGGAAGTCATAGTCCAGGGAGAACTGCAGTTTGCCCAGGTTCTCAGGCTCTTTCTCTTCTTCTCCTTCACCTTCTCCCTCAGTCAGGCCCGTCTCTGCGTCATCATCGTCCTGACAGAGCTTGGGGAGTAAGGGAGCATGAGTTACAGGAGGAGAACAAGAGCGACCAGGCTCAGCACCAGGACACAGAAACCCTTCCCTTTCCACCTCTGTGCCCAAGCTTAACTCTGAGCCCGGCTGGGGCAAGGGATGCACTGTGGCACAACCAGGGGGCTCCGCTGCCCCACAGCCCCTCAGGACCCTTGTGGACCACCAGCCCTGCAAGTGGGAGACAGGGCCCTGGGTCTGGTGTGCCTCTCTCCTCCCCATAGGGTGCAGCACTACGAGGCCTGGCATGATGCCACATGTCCTACAGTGTCCTGAGGCAGAGGACTAGCTCCCCTCGTAAGATGCCCCCAAAACCCACCCCAACTCAGACCCCACCCATCCTGGGCAAGACATACCAGTAGCACAGTCCAGGCAGACGGGAGTAAGACATGGCCACGGAGGTAGAAAGAGAAGGAAAAGTGATGTAAGAAAAACTCCTGCAGCTCAAGCCAGTCCCTGAAGTCACAGCCACCTGGGGAGACCAGGCTGGGCCAGACCCAACTCATCCTGAAAACTCACACACACACTGGAGGCCTCTTCTGGGCCAGGCATGCACACGTGTGTGCACACACACCCAAGTAAGCACTCGAAGGCCCCAAGACCGTGGCCAACTTGAGACCATCCCCTTCCGTCTTCCACACCCAGTCCTTGAAATTTCTTCCAGTCACTGCCCAGACAAACACAAGTGTGTGAAGCACACAGGGCTTCTGTGACCTCAAAGAAGACTACAGTGTCTTAAGGGACTCTTCTAGGACTGGGGGTGTGACTCAGAGTGCAAGGCTGGGATTCAATCCTGCAAGTGGCAGCAAAAGAAAAAAGAAAAGGATCTTTCTAGCATGACCAACACCAAAAGACACCTGTCTTGCAGGTTAGAATAAACTGAATTTTTCTTTGGTTAGCAGTAGGTTCCAATGGATTTGGCCCTGTCTTGGTGCCTCGGGACCTTTCTCCCGCCTTGCCTAGTTCCCCACCCTAGCCAGCCAGATGCCTCCAAAGAGAATCCCACCATCCCTCAGCCTCTTCTGCAGGAGGACACAGGGTTTCCAGTGGCGGCTTCCTGGAGGTGACAGAGGGCTGTCTCTCCAGTGTTCTGCTCCAATGGCCTCCTTGGGGGACACACCATCCCCTCCCTTACTTCCCAAAGTGGAGGTCATGTCGACACACGAATGCGCTCCCTCTCGCTCTAGCTGGTGAGCAGATGATGCTACACTTGAGGGGTGGCCAGCGGGACCTTGTGGAGTTTGGAGGAGGCTGTGAGGCCGTGCAAGCTCGAAAGACTTTGCTTTGCCCTTCGGCATCAGGAAAGCTGGGCCGGATCCCTTCCCGTGCCACAACACCGCTGCCCCTACCTGGCCACCCTTCATGTCCTTCATATTCATGGCGTTCTTCATGCCCTTCCCTTTCTCCTTCTTGTTCTTCTTCCTCTTGCAGCAGCACTTCTTGCAGATGCAGAAGCAGCAGGTGAGGAGCAGCAGCCCAGCGACCACAGCGATGGCGATCAGAGCCCACGGTGGCACTGCCCCCACAGAGAAGGCCCAGAGTCAACCTGCCGCCCCCGCAGGCCTGGGCCCAGAGGGTGGCAGAGCAGGGCGTGATCGGCCATGGCGGCACCCACGCTCCATTGCTTTCAGCAGGTACTCGGGAGCGACCTGCATGTTAAGCTGCAGACCTTAGGTGCCTTTGCGTTAGCGCCCTACTCGTACCTTCGCCTCGGCCCTTGTGGACACTGCGGAGGGAGACGGCAGAGGTTTATGTGGAAAACACAGAGTTCAGTTTGAACCTAGAGGAGGATGGCCGGTCCTTCTCACACCCCGGTGTCACAGGGGCCCCCTGGCGCCCACGGGTCCCTCGGAGACAGAGGCTTCCGGATGTTTACCGCGTGGGCCAAGACAGCCTGGGCTTTGCCAGCTCAGGTGTGGGGGCGAGGCCGGGGCTGCTCTCCGTGGTCCTGAAGCTCCGCCACCCCCAGCTGCGCCTCAGGTCTCCTGCTCGGCCTCCGCCAGCAATTCAAAAGGCAGAAGCAACTTTAATTTTGGGATTTTTGTTTTTGTTTTTGTTTTGTGTTTTTTGGTACCGGGGATTGAACTCAGGACCTAGAGCTTGCGAGGGAGGCGGCAGAACCACTGAGCTAAATCCCCGGCCCCAACTTTAAGTTTTCATATTCTAAAATAAACTGGTTTCAAAATGTAACCGCAAGCTGAGTAATGATTTCTATTTTATCATTTTTCAATCTTTCTACAGTTTTTTAAGCTATAAGAAAAAATTTCCCCTTGGAGAGTGGAGCATATAATCCCCTAAGCCCTCATTGGTTCCAGCCCACACTGCACCCGCCCTACCCCCATTCCTCAAGGGGCTCCCCCAAAGAATCCAGGCAGAGGTGCAAACTTTAGGAAAGAGTCCCGCCCAGCCCCGCCTGCCGGCCCCGGGCCACGCCCTCTAGCCCCGCCCCCACCCCACCACTCACAGGGGATCTTGTTGATCTCGTTGAAGAACTTCTCTTTCAGCTTGGCAAACATGTCCTCCTGACTCTCCCCAGCACCCCCACTCTCCGTGGAGTTGGAGTTGGAGTTGTCTGCGGGTCCAATCGGCATTGTGGCAGTGGTGGTGGCAGGAGCCACAATGGGCTCCTGGTTTCTCTTGAAGATGTTCCTCATGACGACAGCAGGGACGGCTGAGGAGGAGCAGGGAAGAGGGCAGGGTAAACATCCCAGATGCCCAAGTGCAGCAAAGGACCACACAGAGGACAAGGAAAAGCTGTTCCAAAAGCTCAAGACAACAATACGCCCTTCATAGTGCAAAGGTGTTTTGCTTAATGTCAGCAAATGTGGAAAACAGTCATAGTACAGTATGTCAGTACGTATATATTCAGGGGCTGTCAAAACTCTTTTCCATGTGCAAGCTCATGTAATCCAAACCACCAAATAGTCTATGATGCGATACTGTCCCCACTTAGGCAGGAAACAGCTTCAGAGAGGCGAGGCGGCTTACCCAAGGTCACTCAGCTAGAAAATGGGAAACTGGTTTGAACAAATCTGCCTGAATCCAAAGCCTTCAGACCACCGCAGAAGGCGGGGGCACAAAAGCAGAGAGCGTGCAAGAAAGAGCTCATGAGCCCCATCCTTCCATCCTGAGAACTAAGGTCAGCACTTGGCACTCGTTATGTATTATTTTTCTCTTTTACATGTTGAGTTCATACTATATATAGTATGGAATTTTGCACTTTTAACCCAAAATTTTATCTTAAGCCTTCTCCTTTATGATTAAATTTAATTCTTTTGTTGTGACAGGGACTATGTAGCCTAGGCTGGCCTTGAACTTGTGGTGATCTTCCTGTCTCAGCCTCCTGAGTACTACGATTACAGGCATGTGCCACCATGCCTGGCTTAAACTTTATTCTTAAAAAGCTTTCTGGGTATTTAGTTCAGTGGCACTGAGCCTGCGTGGCAAACACAAGGTCCTGAGTTCAATCCCCAGTACCAAAAAAATAAAAAGCTAAATAATATCCTACAAATGGCATTACCATAATTTGTTTATTCTACTGTTAACTAGTAGACAGTTCAATTGTTTTAAACTTTTTTTTTTTTTTTTTTGGTACTGGGGATTGAACTGGGGTCCTTGCTCTTGTAAGGCAGGACACCAAACCACTGAGCTAAATCCCCGGCCCTCAACTTCTTGCTAGGAAAAACATTACTATGCAGCTAGGGATGTAGCTCAGTGCAGAGTTCTTGCCCAGCATGTGTAAGGCCCCAGTGTCCCCACCCCTCAGATACACATCCACATCCGCATCACACACAGACTGCAAGGAACATAACTTCTGGGGTCCGTTTAAGGCTATGCTCTTATGACCTTCCAAACCCTGCCCCACCCTAGTCTCGTCCTTGCCCTCAGTTTATTTCTGCTTCTAAAAGTAGAGCCGGTCCTCTAACCACAATCCTGTGAGGGCATGTGCGGCCTGCACCAGCCTCCCTCCATGCCAGGAACACAGCAGAGCTCGTGGGCACGTGCGGGGTAGTGCTCTGGGGAGCCCGCAGTGGCACAAAGAAGCACTCCGGATCCCTCAAAGACACAACATATCTCGCTGAGGCATCAGTTTACTTAGTGGCAAATGACAATGTTTTTATTATTAAAATAAGCATGGATGGGGGAAAAAATGAGAACCAAGATCTGTCATGTAAAGTTACAAGATCCCAGTGATGAATTAACTGTACTGTATACTCAAAAGGTACCAATAAACTCAATAAAATAAAAAAAAATAATCATGGAGCTGGGCATGGTGGTGCACACCTATGTGTAATCCCAGCATTCTGGGAGGCTGAGGCACGAAGATCACAAGTTTGAGGCCAGCTTGGACAACTTAATGAGATGTGTGTCAGAATTTTAAACAAGGGCTAAGGTTGTTGCTTAGTGGGGGGAAGCACTGAAATAGAGCAGTTTGGACACTGAACAAGAATTTTAAGGAGAAAACACAGATGCTTTCTCTTTGCACATGAGGGGTGAGTTACTTCTCCACCGCACCCATGTTTTCAGAAGGAAAGTTCTGTGCTTCCTCTAAGAAGCTCGCCAAGTCCCGGCCCAGGGAGACTCAGCTCTTCTGGGAGCCCTGTTCAAACACCTGGACCTCCATCTTGTGTGTAAGTAAGGATCGAAGGCCCTGGACCTGCACTGGGGCTGATGGACCTGTGGATTCCCTGGGACCCACTTCAGCCACTGTGTCAGAGCAGGGCGTACATCCGGGCATCACCCACTCGTCTGCCCCACCCCAGCCCCCCTAGGACCCCTGGCCTTTGAAACAATAACAGCTTTACTGACATGCAACTCATCAGCCATATCACCCCTGTAATTTACTCCCCTAAAGTGTACAGTTCAGTGGTTTTTAGTATATTACAGTTGTGCAACTATTTCCATAGCCTAATTTTAGATCATTTCCAAAAGGAAATGCTGTAGTAATTAGCAGTCTCTCTATCCCTACCCTCTTCCCAGCTCTAGCAACCACTAATCTGTCTCCATAGATCTGCCTATGCAAAGCATCTCACATAAGCCGATTCATAAAATACGCAGTCTGTGGGAATGGCTCCTTCCATTTACTGTGATCTTTTCAAGCTTCATCCTTGTTGTAACACACATCAAGTCTTCATTCGTTTTTTGTCAGATAATATTCTGTTGGATAAATACAGCACATTTTTTTACTGACCTGGTCAATTTCTGGACATTTGGGTTATTTTCATTTGGGAGCTCTTAGGCCTAATACTGCTCTGCATAGCCATGTATAAGTTTTAATCGGACAGGTTTTCATTTCTTTTGGATAAAGATTTAGGAGTGACATTGCTGGATCGCATGGTAACCATGTTTGATGTGTTAAGGAACCGCCAAACTATTTCCCCAAGGTGGCTGCATGAATTTATATCCTCAGCAATGAATGAGGCTTCCCAATTCCCCGTCCTGGACAGTACTATTTGTTCATATGCGCCTTTTGGTTTAAAGTCTTCCTGGGAGGGAGGAAATGGTGTCTCACTGTGGGTTTGAGTTGCATTTCTCTAATGACCAGTGATACTGTCTTTTTCTGTGCTATTTAATTGTTTTGTTTATTTGAGATGGGGTCTCACTATGTAGTTGAGATTGACCTGGAACTCACTATGTATCCCAGGCTGGTCTCGAACTCACAATGATCCTCCTGCCTCAGCCTCCCGAGTGCTGGGATTACAGGCGTGCGCCACCATGCCTAGCTTGTTTTCTTTTGAGAAATTTCTTTGCCAAATTTTTAATGAAATATTTGCCTTTTGATTATGTATTACTCCTAGCTCCTAGTCAGATGGTGGGGGTGGAGAGATGAGAGGGAGGTCACTGTCCTGTCCCCACTGCGGCTGGAGCCAGCGCCCCCACGAGGACAGAGGGGCCACACACCAAGGCGCCACGTATCCACTGCAGTTCTAGAGTCCCTGCATTATCTTTCCGTGTCTTTTGTTGGCATCCATTGAAACAAGAAAAGTTTTTACATTTTGATGATGTCCAATTTCTTCCCTTTATTGCTTACCTCTTCAGCAGTGTCTCCAA